GAAGGGATTGCGGTGTGGCCATCCCCCCTGGGGGGTGATTTCTCGCTTTCTGTCTCTCTGTCTCTCTCTGTCTGTCTGGTGAGTGCACGTGCCCTATAACAAAAACCTCTCCAAAAAAAGAAAATAAATAAATAAATAAACAAATAAAATAAAATGGGGGTGCAGCAGGCAGCATGGTGGTTAAAGGCACTGGACTCCCACATGGCTGACCATGGTTCAAGTCCTGGACCTGGCAGCTTGCTTTCTCTCTCTCTCTCTATCTTGCTCTAGTCAAATTAAAAAATAATAATGGTAAATAAAATAAAGGAAATAATTCTTGGGGGGAAAAAAACCCCAGCATTTTAGCTGGTTCTAATGTACAACAAAGTTCAAGAATCAGTAGATAAGAACTCGCCCCCAGGTAAAGGCTGAGAAGTGACACACAGTAGTGGCTAGGAGCATGGGCCATGCTACTTGACATCCAGTTACTATCATGGATCGTGTGACGTGGTGAAGTTACTTGTCACCATGCCTCACTGTCCTCAACAGCGGTGAGGATAGCAGTCCCTGCCTTGTAAGATTAATGTGAGTTAATACCTATAAGGAATTAAATAGTTCCTGTTATATGGGATATGCTGACAGCTCCTCTTCCCTTCAATGAGAAGTCGAGAAGTCCAAGGTCTAAGCCTTCATTGTAAGGGCACAGTCACATTTTTTTTTTTTTTTTTTTTGCTATAGGGCATGTGTGCTCACCAGAAAGACAGAGACAGACAGACAGAAAGCGAGAAATCACCCCCCAGAATGATGGCCACAATGCAATCCCTTCTCCTCCATTCTCCTCTCGGGATCTTGGGCATGCACGCACACGCGCCTGCTGTGAGTTTAAGTCACCAGGTCTAGGACTCGAACCACGGTCGACTACGTGGTAGTCCAGTGACATAGCCATTATGCCAACTGCTGGTCCCGTGGGCACAGTACACTCTCACCTCTTACCTATACATCCACAGAACTTCTTGTCTTGCAGCCATTTCTTACTTTGAGGAATTTCTATAATTCTCCATTCGTCACACAGAATGCTTTCTTTTCCTTGGTTGCTTTTCATCCTTGTGTTTCAAGTTGTTAATCCATCTGTATTTAAATTCATTTCAGTAATTTAGGATTTTACGAAAATAAGTATTCTCTCACCTGTTCTCCATAGCACTTCCCTCGTTAACAGGATAACTCCATAACTGAAATATCCCTTGTTTACCGTTCTGAGAACAGAAAGAAATCATGGACACAAATTTTAGTCACTGCCTGAATTTAAAAAACAACAACAACAACAACAACAACTTTAAGAACATGATGAGTGAAATCTCACCTGCGTTCTTTTATGAGCATGCTCTGACAAATTGAGTTCCAGCATCAGCTGTTGTACTGGAATTTCCAAATGGTTCTGCAAAGTAGCAGAAGACTTTGAAATACAGTGTATCTCTGTTCTCTATGGCTCTTAGTAGGTACAAGAGGACTTCTAAAAGTACATAGAAAATGTGTATTTTGAAGAAAATTATGCATGGATTTCAAACTTTTTTTTTTCCAAATAAACGAGTTTACCAAAATATACCTGTACTAACTTGGTATTACAAGTCTGAATAAGCACTTTGAGGCATTAAGAAGCAAAATATTATGTTTTGAAAGAGTCCCTGTCCGAGCAACATGAATCTATTAAAACTGAAGCAGGAGGCCAGCAGATGGCATAGTTACGTACCTGGCCCTCCACATGGTCACCTGCAGTTCAAGTCCTGGACCCAGTGGCTTGAAACACACTGGTGTGTGTGCCCACATGCCCAAGAGCTCAGAAGGAGAATGGAGGAGAAGGGACTGCGGCATGGCCATCCCCCTGGGGGCTGATTTCTGACTTTCCTTCTCACTGTGTCTGTCTCTCTCTCTCTCTCTCTCTGTGTCAAGCATACGTGCCCTATGGCAAAAATCTTACAACAAAAAAAAAAAAAAAGAAAGAAAGAAAATAAAAGGAAAATCAAATGTATGATGAAGCTTGGGAACAAGAATGGTGAAATAACTGCTGCTTTATGAAAAGCTTATGGGGGGCCCAGCAGTTAGTGTAATGGCTATGTTGCTGGACTTCCATGTAGTCAACCGTGGTTTGCGTCCTGGACCTGGTGGCTTAAAACTCACTCCAGGCGCATGTGCGTGTGTGCCCAAGATCCAAAGAGGAGAATGGAGGAGA